CACAGTATTACTGTTGTACTGTATTTGTAATGAAATAAACACAGCCTTAGTGAGCAAAAGAAACGTCTTAATAAAAGGCGTAATTATTCAATATTTTTCAACAGTAGAATATATATGATAATTAAAAAAGCTCTTTTAAAATAATGACATGCTAATGACAAGTGCCACAAGGGATCTGTAATTAGGACACATGTTTTAGTAACATTAGACGAGCCTAGTAATCGGCTCACAGTGTAGATACCAGGTGTTTTAGCAGGAATTTCAGACGTGTATTTTGGGGACAGTGAAGAGTCACTCACTCTCTGGATGCCCTCCTCATTGACACAAACGCTGCGGAAGAGTCTCTTGAAGGCTTTGCTGAGCATAAAGGCAAAGAAGCGTATAGTGCTGAGCTGCAGACGGTGAGCCATTTCATCCAGGATCAGAGACGCTTCCTCCGCAACACACTCGGTGCTGTCTCCTGATTCTGATGAAACCTAAACACACACACAACTCAGTAGCCATTAAAACACCTAGGGTTTGATCTGTATTCCTAGATACAGACACCTGAATGAACAGCACAACTCTGCAGAAAACATAACTGTAATATTGACACAATAATAATTAAACAAGACCGTATTTCATCTGAATGTACAATTCCACCAAAATGCCTCACTTGATTTAGGGTTCCTAGTTATTGCATGAAACTCATGGCATTGAGGAGAATGGTGGCGCACTGTGTTGTTTCTGTACCTGTTTAATGACATACTGCAGGTGGTCTGACTGCAGAACGATGGTTTTTAGCATGCTGGCCTTGCAGGGCACGAGTCCTTTATAGAGTGTGGGAGTGTAGCATCTCAGTGCGTATCTCAGATCACTGGAGCGTCTTCTCTCTTCCAGAACGTCTTCAAAATCATCCCGCTTCTTCAGCACTGGATGCCTAGGCTGTATGAAGACCAGTGTTGGTGGTAACGCATTACAAGTAACGTGAGTTACGTAATCAGATTACTTTTTTCAAGTAACTAGTAAAGTAACGCATTACTTTTTAATTTACAAGAGAATATCTGAGTTACTTTTTAAAATAAGTAACGCAAGTTACTTTTTTATTTATTTTAGTTTATTGATTGACAGCTCTCCTGTCCCCATGTTGAGAGAAATCAGACAGAAAACATATTTTTCAAAATAATAAGACCGTTTACATGATCACATTTCTGCTTCTGCTTTTTTAAAACTGTAATACATTACAATTACAGTACATAAAAAATCCAATAAAAAACTGAAGAATAAAAATGGCAAGGACTGATACTCGTGATGCGCATTGGCACACATGCACAAAATATTACAGATATATTCACATATGACAGAATTATGACTGCCTTATTGAATTTATTTTGATTTGTTTTAATTTTATATATGTTTGTTCAAATTAACAAATATAAATTGTACACATGAATAACACTTTCTATACTATTATAAACTTTATATAAAATCATACAGTATATTCTATAATATTTTTTTGGGAAGATAACTTAAATAAGCTAACTTATTTGTGGTCACTACATTATTTCTATTAATTCATTTGTGTTTTTAAAGCAGTTTTGCCTTTACTGTTATTCTAAAATGTGGAAAACTGTGCTACAAAATAATGAGGGTGTGTCCATTTATTTGTAAGCAATGCAAAGAAAATAAACTAAATAGCTACAAATGTATGTTGCTTAAACGCAGACATACATTTGATTATTACTGCTATAATTAATAAAATGCTGCCAGAGTTTATAGATAGCTGTACAGTATGGTTTTCTAATGGTATATGGTCCTAAAACCATGTTAAATAATTTTTAAAACAAATGACATGTAAAACTCATGTGAGAGATTTTATTTGGTTCATGAAACGCTCGTGTGCACTGGACATGAAATGTGCTTAATGTTTCCTTGAAGGAGAATATTAGAGGAAGCTCTGTGAGAGATTCACACACTGCAAGTGTTGCAAGCATGTGCTACTTTGACAGAAAGCATGCGAAAATATTGTAACACTCACCGAGTACAGTGCTCGAGACGCCATTTCGATCCCGCAGCTATCAAAGCATGAGTGCAATAGACCAGAAGAGCTCTGGGTGAGAAAGTTTGGATCAAGGTTGACCGTTCAGTCCAGTACTCATTCCAGTCATAGAAACACAACATGCGGGAGGAATGAAAACTGAGTATGAAACAGCAGAGCCGGGTGGGCGGGGCTTGGAGGTACGGCTGGTCAAAGTAAACATTAATATTACACTTTTAGGTGCTCCAAGCTATTTCTTTAATGCCGCTCATTAAATCTCACTATTACCCCACAGACTTTACTAAGGTGCCCTGAAATACCTGTCTCGGCTTCTGTGACAGCTCTGTAAACGACAACAAAAAACGAATCGAGGCGGGAGCGTTCCTAAGTTTAGCCAATCAGAAACGCCTCCTCCTTGTCAATCATTTTGTGAGTTTGAGTTTGCTGCTTGCGGGTTGGTTGACAGTATTTTGGGGGGCGGGCTTCATGTGATTGAAAGTATGGTCACTGAAAATCTGGATAAAGTTAGCAAAACGGATGAAATAGCTCATAATGGCTGTAAATTCTCGCCGTATATGTATATCTTTTAATTTAACGTTTTTTTTTTTTTTTTAAGTTCTCTGGTTAAATTTATGTATTTAATCCCATTCTATTAACCAATGTCTTTGCTTCTGACCTTCGATGATCCAGTTCAACCATACTAATAAGCACAAATTACTCTAGACAAACATGTGTGTGTCTTTTTTTATTGCTGAAGTGTGTTGAAATTTCTTCTGCATTCTACTGTACGGACGTAAATTTACTTTCCCTTCAGCCTGAGGCTTATTCATTTCACTTCTGGTGTGAAAAGGCTTTTATATTTGCCAAAAATATAACTTTTTTTATTTTTAAAAACAAACAAGCAAGCCCTGTCCAGATTTAAAAAGTAACGCAAAAGTAACATAACGCATTACTTTCCATAAAAAGTAACTAAGTAACGTAATTAGTTACTTTTTTATGGATTAACGCAATATTGTAATGCATTACTTTTAAAAGTAACTTTCCCCAACACTGATGAAGACAGAAAACATATTTTTCAAAATAATAAGACCGTTTACATGATCACATTTCTGCTTCTGCTTTTTTAAAACTGTAATACATTACAATTACAGTACATAAAAAATCCAATAAAAAACTGAAGAATAAAAATGGCAAGGACTGATACTCGTGATGCGCATTGGCACACATGCACAAAATATTACAGATATATTCACATATGACAGAATTATGACTGCCTTATTGAATTTATTTTGATTTGTTTTAATTTGATACATGTTTGTTCAAATTAACAAATATACATTGTACACATGAATAACACTTTCTATACTATTATAAACTTTATATAAAATCATACAGTATATTCTATAATATTTTTTTGGGAAGATAACTTAAATAAGCTAACTTATTTGTGGTCACTACATTATTTCTATTAATTCATTTGTGTTTTTAAAGTAGTTTTGCCTTTACTGTTATTCTAAAATGTGGAAAACTGTGCTACAAAAAAATGAGGGTGTGTCCATTTATTTGTAAGCAATGCAAAGAAAATAAACCAAATAGCTACAAATGTATGTTGCTTAAACGCAGACATACATTTGATTATTACTGCTATAATTAATCAAATGCTGCCAGAGTTTATAGATAGCTGTACAGTATGGTTTTCTAATGGTATATGGTCCTAAAACCATGTTAAATAATTTTTAAAACAAATGACATGTAAAACTCATGTGAGAGATTTTATTTGGTTCATGAAACGCTCGTGTGCACTGGACATGAAATGTGCTTAATGTTTCCTTGAAGGAGAATATTAGAGGAAGCTCTGTGAGAGATTCACACACTGCAAGTGTTGCAAGCATGTGCTACTTTGACAGAAAGCATGCGAAAATATTGTAACACTCACCGAGTACAGTGCTTGAGACGCCATTTCGATCCCGCAGCTATCAAAGCATGAGTGCAATAGACCAGAAGAGCTCTGGGTGAGAAAGTTTGGATCAAGGTTGACCGTTCAGTCCAGTACTCATTCCAGTCATAGAAACACAACATGCGGGAGGAATGAAAACTGAGTATGAAACAGCAGAGCCGGGTGGGCGGGGCTTGGAGGTGCGGCTGGTCAAAGTAAACATTAATATTACACTTTTAGGTGCTCCAAGCTATTTCTTTAATGCCGCTCATTAAATCTCACTATTACCCCACAGACTTTACTAAGGTGCCCTGAAATACCTGTCTCGGCTTCTGTGACAGCTCTGTAAACGACAACAAAAAACGAATCGAGGCGGGAGCGTTCCTAAGTTTAGCCAATCAGAAACGCCTCCTCCTTGTCAATCATTTTGTGAGTTTGAGTTTGCTGCTTGCGGGTTGGTTGACAGTATTTTGGGGGGCGGGCTTCATGTGATTGAAAGTATGGTCACTGAAAATCTGGATAAAGTTAGCAAAACGGATGAAATAGCTCATAATGGCTGTAAATTCTCGCCGTATATGTATATCTTTTAATTTAACGTTTTTTTTTTTTTTTTTAAGTTCTCTGGTTAAAACCGCCTCAGCGTCACGTTGATGGCCTGAACACGTGGTACATGTTACTTTTCTCAGCGCTGCACGGATGGGCCAATCACTGACGTTTGAGATTATTAGATTGTTGTGTTCATTTAATGTCTTTATTTAAACATTCCGCGCGATCTTTTTATTTTCATGTCAGGTAGCGCTCTTTAAAAGTGATATATTTAAAAGTGTATGACTTTTACCGCACATCTAGTAAGACAAAAACGCCGTGAGATTTTAATGTGGTTCAATGGAGGGTTGGAGCTCTGGGTTTCATTGCGCCGTCTAGAGGAAAGAAAGCATTTTTACAGCCTCTACAGTTACCTCCTCCTCCTGTCCTGTCCTATCACATTGGGCGGTGTCAACATTTCAGATTATGCTACTTCCGGGACGACGAGCGTGTTGACGGAAAGTGAGAAAGGACATTTCGCGTATGTGATGCACACACGTGAAACACACGAAAACCAACATTGCTGTTAAAACGTGTTTTATTTATTAAAAAATGAGCGTAACAAGAAATGAACACGGTGGGGAGGCGGATGACGATCGTCTTTTCCTCGATCAAGTTGTATGATTTTGGTGAGAGTGAAGTTTTTAATAACAGCGAACAGCCATACTAACACATTTACGGTAGATATTAGCTAGTAGATGGTGATTAACAGCATTTTTAAAATTAACAGACTCTTTAAGTAGAGCATAAAAGCCACGGAAAAGTGTATGATACAGTAAATTCACCCTGTGTTGTGTTGTAATGCAGCGCTCTGTTTACAATGAAACACTAGCGTACTGAATATTGTGCACTATATACTGCATACTGCTTCCAAAACAAATGTACTAAAGCGGTAATTAGTATGCAACGATAAACTATAATCCTAATTTGTTACATTTGCTGTTTAATTCGGAAAGTGGCAGTTTAACATAAGGAAAATAAGGTCGCAGCTGTTAATAATTAAAATGTTGCATACTGCACGTAATATAGGCCTACAAAATAAATTAGCTAACAACAGTCTTATGGAATTTGTAATTACCGATTATAATATTTGATGTAATTTTTCATGTTTAGGTGATGGAAAAAAACAAAAGATTGGGAAAGTCTCGGAAAAGAAAGAACTCAGCTAAAGATGACATGAACGATACTGAGGAAAATACAGATACAGTCTGTCACAGACACAGACTCAGAGCAGCTCATGACACACTCAACAGTATGTGAACACATGCTATCTGGGGCAAAACGATCCAACGTGGAGGTTGTTACATTTATTGTTCCTTTGAAGAAGAACAAATTATCAAAGGCTGTTGAATCAGGGCAGAAGGTAAGAAGAACATGCAACTTCAGAAGTCCATTATCTACAAAAAAAAACAAAAAAACTAGCTATGTGTACTGTGCTAGACTAACGGAGACTTGTCACAGCACTTGTATACTGTTGGTCTTGCTTCTATTGTTCTCCTCATTTGTAAGTCGCTTTGGATAAAAGCGTCTGCTAAATGATGAAACGGAAATGTGAATATGTGCATGAAAGATTGAGTGAACCATACAGAGAAAAGCAGCTGCAGCAACTGTATTCAACTCTCATCTGTCTTTATCCATGTTTGCTTATCCTCAGGTTTCCGATGTCAAAGAAAAGAAGAAAAACGATGAAAAACTAACAATAGAAAAGGTGAGATTATTGCTCCTTTTCAAAACCTAGTGAGCTGTCTACATAGTCAGCATGTTTGATATTAGAGATGGAGCTAAACTCTTCAGTACAGTTCAGTATCACTGCTTTAGTAAGTTGCCTCATATTAGAAAAACTTCCTTCATAAATCCATCAGTCCCTTTGTCATTTTGTGGAAGTCAGTGAAAAAATATATTCAAGATGGTGGACAAAATGAATGAAGTCTTGATTATAAATACTCTTGAAAACTCAATACTGAAAAGCAAGAGTTCCCTGATCAAACTCACCTGCCTTAAACATTTGATCAAATAGCCATTCTATCATACCTCCGATTAATAAGGCCATCTCTGGCTCGAGTAATCTTGAAGACTTTGAGCTTATTCGGGTGTTTTTGATTAGGGCTGGAGCTAAACTCTGCAGGAAAGTGGAAAATGAAGGCCAGAGTTGAGAACCCCTGCAGGAAAGTATGGAAAATAATTGAAAACAAAATAAAAGTAAAAAAAAAAAACACCTCAAATTTGTTTGCTGTGTGTTTTTAGAATATTTCGTTGTTAGCTTAGCAACATGCTAATGTCAAACTCTTGAATTCAGTTGCAGCACAACATTATTTGCCTCATGGAGTTTCTGCTCATGTAGAGTATTCCAGATCAGTCATTTATGAGGTTCTGTGACGGTATATTAATGTTTATTAAGGTAACACATATTTTCTCGCATCACATTGATTCTCTCGTGTTTCGTGTTCAGAGTGCTATTTGTTCAACTGCCTGTGTGTGTACACAGTTCCAAGTCAGTAACTTCCTCGGCTGAAACTCAATTGCAGAATGATAAGCCACTTTTTTTCTTGAATGAACTGGCATGACTTGTGTGTGTCCTCCGCAGGCTCGGTTTGAGGTTCACAAGTTTGGGCTGTCGGGGTATCAGAAGCAGCAGCAGAGGGTCTTTGAGCAGGACAGAGCCATCATGCTGGGAGCCAGAGTGAGTTCAGCACACATCCACTAATCGCATGCAGCACTGCTGGGCCTCAAACATACTCAAAGAAACCCTTCTGCAGTGCTTTGTGTTCAGAAATGGCTCAGAATGCAATATATAACACAGCACAAGTATGCATTCTCGGCACTGCCACAAGGGGCGCTCTAGCAGGTGAATCGAATCTTGCAGAGAAAGTTGGTTGAACTATTGGCAAGTTTACATTTAATCATACTTTTATTTGAATGTCACAGACATTTTGACCCCCCTTGACCCTACACTTGCAATGTGTTGGCAGCAGGGTAATTATTGTAAACCTAATACCATAAAAAAAATTCCACATGTTTATTACTTAAAATATAAAAATGACAAAAATACAACAAAATTACTAAAACTAAACTAGAATGAAAATAGAAAATATAAAAATAAAATTTAACTCAAAATATTAACAAAAATTAATAATAGTATATCAATGTATAATCAATATATATCAATACTAGTTTGCATTTTGGGTTTGCATACCTGTTTCTGGCACTTTATTTTTAATCGTTGTCATAACATTTTATTTCATTATTATATATATATATATATCTTTTTTTTTTTACAATACTCAAATGAATAAATGTTGTTGTTTTTCTCTATAGGCCCCTAAAAAGCAGTATGTTAATTACAAAGTGTATCAACAAATGATAAAAGAACAGAAGATGAAAGCCAAAGAGGAAGCAAAATCTGTAAGTACAACTTTTAAAATTTAAACAGTTTATATATATTCTTACTTTTTAAAACACTTGACTACTTCTGCAGCATGTGCAACCTTTCCACTAACCTTTCCTCTCTGGGTGTTTTGTCAGGAACCACAGAAGAAAAGAAAGAAAGAAGGGAAATCAAGGTTTGTGTTTACATTTTGAACTCAATGACATTAAAAAGTCCATCCTTCTGACGTTCTGTTTGTCATTTAAATGAAATGGGTTGTAGTTTGTTTGTGCTTGATTGTATTAGCAAAATTGAGGGCAAATAAAAAAAGTTTGGAAATAATGTTGCGATGCGTGAAGCACAACTCGCAGAGGAGTCCCTTTTAAACCAGCAGCTGTCTGTTGGTTAATGCAGCGAATCTGCGCGACCAACTGGCATGACCACGAGCAAAATCTGCATGGGGAACATTTTTTGCCTACAGGATCCTATTGAATTTAATTAATTTTGGCTGTGAAATTTCACAGAGCACCTTCAGAGTCAAGATATCAGGTGTTTTTGTTTTTGTAGTGTTGCTAATTTTTGTTGCCTTTTTGACTTCCCAGGACTGAGAAAAGTAAATCGTCGTCTAGCGGAGAGCTTGGTGGACAAGTTGGACGCTTCAAAAACGGAATGCTGATGTTGAGCTCCAAAGACATTCAGAAATCGAAAGTTAAAGTGAAAAGGTAACAGCGACTGAGCAGCTGTTTCTGAATCTTCAGAAAAAACGACACCATTAAAAATGCAAGAACATTTAAATAAGTATGGAATATCACATTTTGACTGGGCTGAAATTGAAATGTGCCATACTTTACCCTAGTCATTTTACATATAGAACATTTGCAATGCCCTTATTGATTATTTTTAGGTTTCTTCACTTTGGTGTATAACTCATCCCTCAGTGTATGTGCTACAGACATAAAATACACCTCAAATTATGCAACTACTTGAGGTACACTTTTCCTCATAATTTGGCAATTTTTGGGATGTGAGCCTTCTCTAAAATACCCAAATGTAAGAGAAAGTACCCAGAACACCAAAACATGTTAAAAAAAAAACTAAAATCTCCTAAGCATTTACACTAGCAGGAGATTTGGCACACCTGATTTCTTCAGAAAGTGTAAAAGTGTAGTTTTATTTACCATAAATCATGCTAAAACACTGCTTTTTGGAGTTTAATCAATCTGTGAGGCTGTGAACAGGAAACAATCATAGATGAGATACTCTGAATAAAGATGCGTGGATCACGGTTTTATTGTTTATTAAAAGGGAAAGACACTGGTTTTCTTCTACACTACATAGTAAGAAAAGAATGTCATATACAATGTATTTGAGATGCAAACCACAAAGACATACAAAATATCACATTATAGTAAGAGGAAATGAAAGCTCGAGATCACATACAGAAGAAAAACACCGAAAACACACGCACCCACACATTAGAGTTTGCGTCGAGGATGATGATGATGATGATGGTGGCACACAGCGCAGGGCTGTGTTCATATGTGTGTGTCTCGTGTCAGCAGATCAATGGAAAGACTCTTCAGAGAAACAACTTGTCTTTCCTTTCCAAACTCTTCACAATGAGATAATCTGAGGGCCAATCACCTGACTAATTTACATCTACATAGGTAATATGCTGAATATAGAAAAATAAATCCTTAAAAGCTTGGTACAGTGGCAAATTTTCTGTTATTGGGACCGTTGAACTTTTTGTGATGATGGTCACACTCGCAGGCAGTCATATTAACCGTACAGCTATATAGCAAACACCTCAAGACCATTTCATTTTGTGCGCTTTCAAGAGAATCATTTGTTCAGTATGTCCTTGTTTCTTGAAAAAAATCCAGTGTAATTCATCTGTGCTTTCTTTTGATGGGTGTTTCCTCAACTTTGGCCACATTTATGCCCCAAGGATTATGATTTTACCTTTGTTAATGATGAGTCATCATTGTAATTTTACAAGCCTTCATTTACTCTTTGCTACTTTTAAATTCCATTTACACAGATTTTTATTGAGTTAGCCTTTTCTCAGGCCCAGACTTTTGATCTTGAATTAAAAAAAAAAAAAAACACTGAACCAAAGATTAATAGAAGTTATACCATGGTCTGTCTGAATACTGGATTCTGATTGGCTAGCAAGTATGCATTACAACCGTTTAATGCACGGGCAGTTCCAAGTCAGTTTAATCACCGTTACATATTAATGGTCAATTGATGCACATAAACCCACACACATCGTTCGCGCACAAACACACACACACACAGAGAGAGAGGTCGGAGATCGCAGATTGCGCTGCATACATACAGAAACTTGTCAACTCTTCCCCTTGGCTTTTATTAATAAAATAGCCTAGATACTAGATCACTACATTATATTCCTCAGCAACGAGGTGGTAAAGCGCTGTTTTTGAAGTAACTAAACATAGCTTCATCTTTTGTAGAGAGACAAACGTCTCTCTCTCTCTCTCTCTCTCTATCGATAGATAATTAATTCAAATAAATGCTATAATTCATTCAAATACATGTGATCTTACCGCACTCAACTCTGATTTGAAGTGGGCAGAATGCTGGCGCTTATGAGTCATAACTGACAAAAAGAACTGTCATTTTTATCCTTCTGGTCAAATATTGTGCTGCAAACATTATTAACAGCTTTAACTCGTCGATGCTGGCAAATGACCACGGTATAAGCAGGATAATGCACAGCTATCTGTGCATTAAACAATTTTAATGCACTTTGTGTCTGGTGGTTCTTGTTTAATGCACAGCTAGCCGTGCATTATCCCTTACTTTATTGTAACAGTTGTTAACATGTGAGAAGTGAAAAAAATAAAGTAAAATTAAAGTAAATGTCAGTTTATCAGTGTTGAGGAAAGTTTCTTTTAAAAGTAATGCATTACAATATTGCATTACTCCATAAAAAAGTAACTTAGTTACGTTTTATGGAAAGTAATCCATTACGTTACTTTTGCATAACTTTTTGTCACCTGAGCTGGGCTTAATTTTGAATAACAAAAAAAACCCAAAAGTTATATTTTTGGTAACTGTAAAAGCCCTTTCCCACCAAAAGTGAAATTTAAAAGCCTCAGGCTTCAACCTAAGGCTGAAGGAAGTGTCTTTGCCTTTGCACCAAACTCCCAATTTCTCTCAATACGGGGACAGAGAAGAGAGCTGTTGGTGAATAAATGGGAAAACAAAGTAACTTGCGTTACTTGTTTGAAAAAGTAACTTGGACATTTTCTATTAAATTTAAAAGTAATGCATTACTTTACTAGATTATAATTTTTTTTAAGTAATCTGATTACGTAACTTGCATTGCTTGTAATGCGTTACCCCCAACACTGGCCATTCTAAAATGTTTCAAATGTCATTTCCATTTGTGATGAGATGGGAATTACATTTGTTGGTTAAAAAAATGACAAAAGTTCTGAAAGTTCACAGGGCAAAAGGTGACCATAGTTGAAGAAACACCCTGATATGAAGTTTTAAGTTGGTTGACATCCAGTCTGAGTGAAAACACACCACATTCCAAAGCAACGTCTCTAATTTTGGCAGATTTGTGTGAATGAGGCACAGGACGAGACGTTAATTTTCTCAGCCTAATGAATATTTAAGACTGTGAGAAACTGGAAAAGTAAGGAAAATTATTCATGTCCAAGATCTGGATATTTTAGGCTATGGCAGTTGGTATGATAGTTTAAATAAATTCAGTTAGGCAGGAATTGCAAGTTGACTTCTTCAATAAATATACACATCCTTTCTCCCATGATTCTGGGTCATATCCATAGTTAGCTTATGAATTATCTTACTGTACAGTTGGTTTATTATCATACATATACAATGCACTCTCTCAAGTTCTCATGTCAGCATTATTCCAATCTCAACAAACAGTTTTTTGAGTGCATTTTGTTTCATATTCAGTGCATGACCAGTGTTTCTATTATCTACATTGACATAAACTTTTAAATATACTTTAATACAAACAAAAAAGTCCATTGTGATATTTAAAATGACACTGTAAAAAAAAAAAAAAAAACATTCAGGGGGATTTTTTTTTGGAAAGACGGCAGTTTTGGCAGGCGTCACCCACAGAATAAACTGGATTTATAGGAATGCTCAAAGTTCAGCTTTAGCTGTTCACCCGTTTCAGTCACATGACTTTCCGGCTCATCATCCATAATTATGACCATTGGCAGCCCATTAGCAAGTATTGGCTGTGAAATGAAAACACATAAACAGAGATACAATATATTTAATCCACATTACCTATTTGTATATCGGTGCTCTCCATATACTGGCATTACATACAGAGATTAAATATATAAATGTCTATGAAAGTTACATTTATTAGGGCTAACCTGAGATCTGTAAAAATGTTTTCTGGTACTTTGTATGGATCGAAGCCATTGATGGCTGTATGTCTGTATTTATCGCCATTACTTTGCCAGCTGATGGTCATAAATATGGTGGATGAGGCGAGAAAAGTACATATGGACAGCATATGTGGCATGTTGGCAGTTACCACAAACAATAATTGAACTTGGCACTTTTACAGTACAATGGAGGTCTATAGGGCAAAATGTTCTGAAGGGTCAAGAAGTGGAAATATGCAGCTAAAGCACTTGTACAAATTCTTCCCTACTAAAATTTTATCAGATAAAAATGTATGATTTTTAGCGAAAAAGTAAGCATGAATATCCACTTCTAACCCTATAACCGTTTCGGGGGCATAAATAATTCCTATGAAAATGTACGAGTGAGATAGTAGAAACTCATATGGATTAGTCACCAATTTGCCAAAATAATTACAAACTGCCATGAGATTGTGTCGGTACTTGTGTTGGTGTTTTACTGCTAAAATTCCACATTTTTTTCTGTGATTTATACTTGAAATGCCATCATGGTAGTGTAAAGATGTCGATGAATGACCTGGAACAACATTCTCAGTTGTCCCAAAGAGACGATGGCCCTGACTGAACCCAGAACATTCCTTTAAGCGCAGCTTTTTACATTTTACCACTCCTTCTTTTCTTATCGCACACTTATTTAGTGCCAGTACCTGCTCCGGTTTAGTTTGGTACTCCTGACAGCAAAGCACTCACTGCGAGATAAAAGCATCTGCTCAAGCTATTTACATTAATTACACTCTTCATAGAAACGCATTATAAATATCAACAACATCCCATGCTTTACATCACCAATAGGTTATTATCTGTTTCCATAATCCCGTGAGTTAATGTCTGGACAGGATAATAAACAAATAAAATATCTTTAATTTATCTTTCATTTCTCCCTGAAACCACTGTATTTTGAACAGAGGTATAAACTGAACATAGGCTTGTATCTCCTTTTGCAAGGTCCATATGTGACTCCTCATTGCATTTAATGTGAGCGGTTTTATGAGAATAAAAGCGCTGTTATGGAGTTATGTAGCTTTTGGGGGTTTTAACTCAAAGTTACGTTATCAGAAAATAATTCCACACAACAAACACTTGGGCAGATTGCAACTCTGCGTCTATGCTGTATTCCTGTTTCATTCATGTCATCACACTACGTAACACAAATTCAATATAATGAATGTGTAACTCATGCGTGCTTCACTGCTTTGACCATATTTACAGCTGTACAACATGCGAACGCGACTACAAGTTATGACTTTGTATTTCGACATCAGAATCTAAAAAAGCGTTAAAGGGCGCGGCATGGAAATATTACTGATTGAACCATGAAGTGATAATTTACTTGTATTGAGGTGTATGAAGCTCGAGTCTGTCATGGATTTAAAGTCGCAGTGTGTAATTTTTGCATCACTAAATACATTTACAAAAAATAGTGACTGTTTTCAAACAGGTTTCCCGACCACTCATTTGTCATTGGTCAGAAATACAGATAGCCCCGCCCTAAACTCTCACTACTGGTTGAGTCGTTGCTATGGGTAGTTCAAACAAACAGAGCGATGTTTTGAATCAGTGTTTACACTTTTCTGTGAAATCAACCTAAAATGGCTTACAATTATCTCTGCATATTAGTCAGGAGAAAATTACACACTTCAACTTCAAGACTCTTAAAGGGATAGTTCACCCAAAAATGAAAATTTGATGTTTATCTGCTTACCCCCAGGGCATCCAAGATGTAGGTGACTTTGTTTCTTCAGTAGAACACAAACGAAGATTTTTAACTCAAACCGTTGCAGTCTGTCAGTCTTACAATGGAGGTGAATGGGAATCACGGCTTTGAGAGTCAAAAAACACATACACAAACAAAACCAAATTAAACCCTGTGGCTCGTGATGATACATTGATGTGTAAAGACACAAAATGATCGGTCTGTGCAAGAAACTGAACAGTATTTATATCGTTTTTTTACCTCTGATTCACGCAATGTCCGAACTGTCCTGAGCGGCGGCGCGGCCTCATGAGCGCGTTCTCAACAGCAGGCGCGTGAGTTGATTGTACTCCTAATTGAGATTGTAGATAGAGTGTCAATGGTCCATTTGAGAGCTAGGTGGCGGTAATGCACTTATAAGCCTGCGATCTGCCGTAAAGCAAGAAGAAGACGTTTGAGAGTGCAAGTGCGAGGCTGCAGCCAGACACTTCTCAATGCGCCTGCAGTAGAGAACGCGCTCAGGAGGACGCACTGCCGCTCAGGACAGTTGTATGTTTTTTTTTACTCTCAAAGCCGTGATTCCCATTCACCTCCATTATAAGACTGACAGACTGCAACGGTTTGAGTTAAAAATCTTCGTTTGTGTTCTACTGAAGAAACAAAGTCACCTACATCTTGGATGCCCTGGGGGTAAGCAGATAAACATCACATTTTCATTTTTAGGTGAACTATCCCTTTAAGGAATATGTTGGTCACAGTGTAAGGAGACCTCAGAGTTGAGATTCTGGCTAAATATTCACAACTGTGGCTCATATAAAGCACCAAGGCTGAGTCTACTTGGCGGTGAGGGCACAGTGTATCTCCAATGGCAGGTATTATATCATTTCTGTAAACCTGGAGTTTTTTCTTGTGTGTTTTAGTGCTGTTTGCTAAGACAATTGTGCATACGTTAAGTATTACACTTCAGCATGTAACTCATCCGGCACTGTTTGTGCTACGATCATTGTTTTGTTTTTTTCCTCAGCTAAATTTTGCAGCTAATTCAGCAGAAGTGTGATATTAGCAATAAGATTTACAATTTTACTTGTGGAACTATGAACTGAAGAGACTGTAAACTTCACCATTATCTGACGCAGGGCTTTTGGCTTGACCGGGACTTTTTCAATCCCAGCACCCCAGATTCATGGTCTGAGTGATGATATTTCTGGGGGCTTTTGAAGCACATTAAAGGTGAGTAAACCTGAGATTTGTGTAGCATGTGAGATTAACCTGAAACATTTTCAAATTCACTTTTAATCTCACAGTTGTTTGATATTGGTTGTGTTTGATCACTCTGTTCCATCGCTAACATATCAAATGGCTAATAAATTGGTTTTAATCCAAATATGTTTTTGAAACTGTGCTATCTTTCGTTGGAGGTATGAAAAAGAGGCATAATTCTACTTCAAAGTGCTTTTGGGTCCGACTCCAGTTTTGGCCCCCGTGGGGACATTGCGGTTTGCTTTTCTGTAAACATGGGAATGATTTGTAAACACTGAAATGCAAATCGCCCATATGACCATGAGGGGAAAAATATTATTAACTTTAGCATTATATGTCAGTGCAGTCTGACAAGAGCAGAGCACTGATTTGTTTAACAAGAAAGGTCTGGCTCGTTCTTATTGGTCCAAGATGATCACATGATGCTCTTTGGGACTTCCAGACCTGTGATTAGAGTCACCTGTGAAAAAGACCAATTTCAATCATTAATGTTGATAAATGTGATGTGCTGATGATCACTAGGCATGGGAATCTGATTCATATTATGATTCACCTTAAATTATTCTATTTCCAAATACAAATGTTCCAAATAAAAGATTCAAATGTTACAAAAACTGTTTCAGGTATGTTTGTTCATTTCTATCATCTGTTTGAACTCAGCACTGTTCTCGTTCCTTCATATGCATTTGGCTAACCACCAATAAGGAAACGGTCTGTAAAAAGCGTTTCACATGTACGGGGTGAGCGGGGCACAAACACGGAGTTAATTGTAACACTACAAGATTTAAACATTTCCACACGCTAGCATTAAAAAATTTCCTATTATTTCCTTGCCATATCATCTCTATATAGAGAAAAAAGGTGCCAAAATTCAAAAATCTTTTGAAGATAATGCTGAACATTTATTTAACCATTGCAAACGTACATTTCTGACAGAAGTAAATTTGTCATCTCGGTTTTTAGTGTTTATTTAAAATGAGACACATCTGTTTGTTACAATTATTTTAATCTCCAAACTGTTTTAGAGAGTTCTGCTTCGCTTCTTATGCTTTGCTAAAAAACGTGTTGGGTTGCGCTCCCCTCTATACACGGAAAGGTCATGAATGCATTTTCTGCGCTGAACCCCGTGATGAGTTTAACAACACTTGCAGCGCAGATTACAGTTCACTGGAGTGAGCTGTCTCAAGTTTTTATGGACATGTTTCATATTTTTAACGTCTGTAAACAAATAAATGAAAACGTAAATATTAGTAGTGAAATTTTACAGTTGTACTATAAAATAAAATGGTTATTTTTCTTAAATACTAAATTTCTGCCATATTAAACTTTTAATTAAAGGGGTCATATGATGTTGCTAAAAAGAACATTATTGCTTAAAGTAATGTCAATTGTTTTTTTATCTCAAATATTTTGGTGGGTCGTGAAATAGATTATACTTGTCTAGGTGGGTCGTGGATAGGGCTCGGACAATAAATCGATGCATCGCGAATCGAGATATGATTTTGCATCGATTCTGAGATTTTCCGAAGGCATCGCGATTCTCTCTTGAATCGATTCTGAGCTTAGTTTTTAACAGCAGATGGCACTGCGTGTTTTAGACAGAGAATCACGATGCATTCCGAAAATCTCAGAATCGATCCATGAATCGCGATGCATCGATTTATTGTCCCAGCCCTAGTCGTGGAATGGAAAAGTTTGGGAACCCCTGCACTAGAATATCGCACGCATGGACAAGGCTTTCAGCCAATCAGATCCGAGGACCAGAAAGAACTGTTGTGTATATATATATATATATATATATATAATTTAAGTAGGCCTATGAATCATTACATAATTATTAAAGCAGAAAAAACAAGTGTTTTTTTATATTTCAATTAATTAATTTTGCTTGTAAATGTCTCCTTGTAAAACTTTATTAAAGAAAAGAAATGTTTGATAGATTTTCATTGCATCCCTAAAAGTTTTTAATGAGCTCCTACATTTTTCAACTTAGGATAACATTTGTGGTAAAACATTTTAAAAATCAAAACATGCCAGAAGAATCTAGACGTTGGGGAAAGCAATTTGAAGGTCTAGAGAATGATTCAGAATAAGAAACAGCTCTGGATTCCCAATGCTACCGATCACTGAGTATGTTAAAGCTCAGTGTGGATCAGCTGCTCACCTGGACGTTGCGGTTGAGGCTAACTGCGGGCATGAACACACCCTCCAGGTTCTCGAAAGCCACGGGTCCATGGTGCTGTTTGTTGATGAAGAAGGTCAGAGTATGTTTTGTCAGGTCTAACAGAATCCCCACAGTTGAACCCTTTGTGATGCCACCCTCAGCCCTGCAAGAATCACAGAGAAGAGGAAGGAGACAAATGAAGTGAATCAGCGACACAGGATACACAGGAATGTTTTGATCCAAGATCTCTCTGGGCAGAGATATGAGAAGGATGCAGGAAATGGAGAATTTGGAGTAGAGCTGGATCAGAGAAACTGTGCTATGACTCCACTTTACTCACAACTCCAGTATGTATGTTACTTCTGAATCACAGCAATGCTAATATTCAGTTTGACAGGATGACTGCAAGTGTGATATCACCTACTTGTATTTATAGAGTAGTGAAGAAAAATTCAACGGCTCATAGACATTTTAAAAGAAACATGTTGAGGAATACAAGAGAAGCCTCTACATATCATGTATTTCTAATCATTGGCCCCGTTTCCACCTGTTATTAAAGGTTCAGTTCACCAGGGTTTTAGTCAATAATTTAATACAATAAACAGTATTGTAAACAGAAGCTCAACCATGTTTGCTTGATGCGCAAGAACCAATGAGGTTAGTTCTTACATGTCATGTGAGCACGTTTGAGCTTCGGCAAGAGCCAGTGAGATTTGTTCTTACGCATCAAGCAAGCACAGTTAAATTTCTGTTTACTATATTTGATATGCTGCATGTAAGAAAGTAGATTAATGTTTATATGTGAATAAATCTGTTCATCATATAAAGTGACGTCTCTCTTCAATGTAGCGCATCGATTCGCTACAGGAGGCCTTTGTTCACCCCCCGGGTCTATGGGATTACATTTCTGCCGCAATTCTGCGCGCGAAAGATAATATTTTGAGCGCGCAAAAGTGCGGTTTGCACGCGCGCGAACTGAGTTTTGTGGAGAAAATGTTTGTCTCGCAAAGAAGAAAGTATTTCGAGAGCACGAAAATCAATTTTGCATTTAAAATAAGTTTTTGGATGTGTGCAGACCTTCTCTTTTGCGCGTGCAACGTTTCACTAGCTTGCTCACCTGATGCCCGCCCTCAGTG